CCACCTTGCGGGTGATAAGGAGGTTCGGGGGGGAGGAACCAGCGTCTCACTCGATCGGTCTCACTATCGATCTCACTATCGATCTCACGATCGGTCTCGCTCGAACGATCTCACTCGATCAATCTTCCAGTCGATGTCACTCGAATTATTTCATTCGATCGATCTCACCATCGATCTGACTATCGATCTCACAATCGATCTCACTATCGATTTCACCATCGATCTCACACTCGATCTCACATTCGGTCTCATTGTCGATCTCACTATCGATATCACAATCGATCTCACAATCAACGTCATCATCATCATCATCATCGTCGTCAACGTCATCAACATCATCATCATCACCATCATCATCACCTCATAACCATCATCAACATTATCATCATCACTATCATCATCATCATCATCATCGGGACACCATCATCGTCACCATCATCATCATCAACATCATCATCGGGACACCATCACCACCATCGGAACACCACCACTCATCATCATCATCATCATCATCATCATCATCGTCTCATCATCGTCATCATCATGAACAACATCATCAATATCATCATCACCATCGGGACTCCATCATCATCAGCAACATCAGCATCATCATCATGATTATCATCATCACCATCGGGACACCATCATCACCGTCACCATCAGCATCATCACCATCATCATCATTGGGACGCGATCCTCATCATCATCATCAACATCATACTCATCACCACTATCGTCGGGTCGCCATCATAAATCTCATCATCTTCACCTCATCATCATCCTCATCATGAACATCATCATCGGGGCACCATCATAGTCATCATCATCGGGGCACCATCATCAGCATCGGGACACCATCATCATCACCATTATCATCGACAGCATCATCATCAACCTCATCATCAGCATCATCATCGGGACACCACCATCATCATCATCATCATCATCATCATCTCATCACTTGTTCATCATCAACATTATCAGGCTCATCAGCAGCATCATCATCGGGACACCATGATCATCATCAGCAACATCATCATCAACATCATCATCATCGGGACACCATCATCACCGCCATCACCATCGTCACCATCATCATCATCATCGTCAACATCACCATCATCATCATCGGGACACCATGATCATCACCACCATCACCATCATCGTCATCATCAAAATCATCGACATCATCATCATCATCATCATCATCATCATCATCATCATCATCATAATCATAATCATCATCATCATCATCCTCATCATCATCATCACCATCATCGGGACACCGACGGGACACCGGCGGGACACCGGCGGGACACCGCGGGCCACCGGCCCCCGGAAAGGAATCATTTGGTCCAGCCGCGCCTCAGCCGGAGGCGGGACACCGCGGGCCACCGGCCCCCGGAAAGGAATCATTTGGTCCGGCCGCGCCTCAGCCGGAGGCGACTTTCTTCTCGCCCGCCCACGCAGCTTGGCCTCGCCCGCACGCACGGCACGCACGAACACGAAACCGAAACCGATTTCCCGGTAGGGGGGCTCTCCGTTCCACTTCGATCTCACCCCCTCACCTCCGATATATATATATATATATATATATATATATATATCTATTCAAATAAATTCGAATTGGCCTTGGCGGGTTTGCGTGGACCCCCGGATCCCCGGGCTCCCCGGGGGGTCCTACACCGCACTGGAGGGCCCCCCGAGGGTGCCCCAACGGCGCCAGCACCACCCTGAAGAGCCCTCATGCGGCCCACAGGGGTCCCCAGACTACCCAAGACGGCCTTCAGGCGGCCCAAAATGCTCTCCACACGGCCGCATGCGCTTCAAAGACGCCCCAGGACGGCTGCAAGGGGGCCCAAGAGGACCCCCAAACTACCCAAGACGGCCTTCAGGCGGCCCAAAATGCTCTCCACACGGCCGCATGCGCTTCAAAGACGCCCCAGGACGGCTCCAAGGGGGCCCAAGAGGACCCCCAAGAGAGGTCCATCCAACGAACTTTCACCGATTCGTTTGTTAGGACTTCGAGACTGCCAAGACTGCCCCGGAGGCCTCCAAGATCGCCCCAAGACGGCCCGAGAGGCTCCCAGGAGAGCCCCAAGACGGCTCCAGACGGCCCCAGGACGGTCCAGGAGGCCCACAAGACGGCCCAAGAGGACCTCAGGAGGGGCCCCGAAGGGGCCCAAGACAGCCCAAGATGGACCAAGACGGCCCAACAAGCGTCCTACACGGCCCAAAACGGCCCCAAGACGGCCCACGAGGCGCCCTACCTGGCCCAAGAGGGCCCCGAGAGGCCCCCAGGAAGCCCCAAAGATCCCCCGAGATGCTCCCAGACGGCCCCCAAGAGGCTTCAAAACTGCTCCCAAGAGCGGCGGGGGGACGCGAGGCGAGAGGGCCCTCGCAGGCGCAGAAGAGCACTCCGGTTGCTCCGATGCCTCTCCTGCTTGGCCGCCGGCCCCAGGACAGCCCCAGACGACGACGACGACGACGACGCCGACGACGACGACGACGACGACCACGACGACGACGACGAGGACGACGAGGACGACGACGACGACGACGACGACGTCGACGACGACGACGACGACGACGACGGGGACGACGGCGACGACGACGACGGGGACGACGGGGACGACGGCGACGACAACGACGACGACGACCACGACGACGACGACGACCACGACGAACACGACCACGACCACGACAACGACCACGACGACGACGACGACCACCACCACCACCACGACGACGATGATGGCGATTGCCGCGGCGGCGGCGAAGGCGGCGACGACGAGGACAACAGCTACGACGACGACGACGCGCGCCGCCCCATCGCCGCCCCGCGCGCCCGCCACGCGTGCAGAGGTCAGGGGCCCGAGGCAGAAGCATTGATGCTCTGGTGGCCCTGTGGTTGCTCCGTTGCGTTTCTTACTTGGCCGATGGCCCCAGGACAGTCCCAGCCGAAAACGACGACGAAGACGACGACGACGACTACGACGATGACGACGACGACGACGAAGATGACGACAACGACGACGACGACAAGTACGATGATGACGATGACGACGACTACCACGACGACGACGACGACGACGACGGCGGCGACGACGACGACGACGACGACGACGACGACGAGGACGGCGGCGACGACGACAACGACGACGACGACGACGACGCCCCGCGCGCGCGCCACGCGTGCAGAAGTCAGGGGCCCGAGGCAGAAGCATTGATGCTCCGGTGGCCCTGCGGTTCCTTTGTTACGGATCCTACTTTGCCTGTGGCCCCAGGACAGTCCCAGACGACGAAGACGACGACGACGACTGCGACGATGACGACGACGACGACGACGACAACAAACATGACGACGACGACGACGACAAACATGACGACGACGACGACGACGACGACTACGGGAGGGGAGCAAGAGGCGGCAGGAGTGCAACGGCACAGGTCCGACCACGAAAAGCCATGGGAGTCCCCGGGCGGCCTGCAAACCCTCCCTACAGCCCTCCCTTCTTTCTCCCTGCTCCATGCTCTTCCTCCGCGGCTTCTGTTCCACATCTGCCTCCGCGGGTTCTGTTCCACATGCTCCCGGCTGCCTCCATGCATGTCGCCGCTTCGGCTCAGGGGCTTCTGTAGCTGTCGCCCTGGCCTCCAACAGCATGTCCCCGTTCGGCCCGTGCCGCTGGCTCTACCTCATCTACCTCGTCCTTGCTGCCATGGGTGGCCATTGCGCCTTCGTTCACCCCGACGGGTCCGCTTGCTCGGCCCAGCCGAAAGGCCCCACGTGCGCGGATGGCCGCCGCTACTGCCGTCGCCACCATACCCTCAAGTATGGCGCTTCTTCCAGACCTTGCTGCTGGACGCTCCCTGCTGGACCGCAGTGCGCAAGCCATGGTAGGCGCACTATCCGTGGTAAGTGGTATTGTGGCCGCCACTTCCCCATGGCAGCCGGAGGCGGCAATGCCAAACGAGCCAGAGGCTGCAGTGTACCCGCGCTCATCCGCCGAGTGCGCTGCAAAGGGAAGACGCCAGTGCAAGCCCTCCGGATTCAAGCCGGCACGGGATGCCCTGGCCTCCTAGGCCAGCTGCCCTGCCAGCGACCCCTGAAGAAAAAAGGTCCTGATGAGAAGTGGTACTGCACGGCGCACGCCAACGAGCTCTTCGGCAAGCGCACACGAGCCCCAAGCGGCGCCACCATTCCCACGGCCCCGGCCCGTCGCCGCCGAATTGGAAAGCGACCCGCGGCATGCTTCCTGCAGCCGCTCGTCCCTATGACAACTTCTGCGAACCAGTCGCGCGCTCGGTGCCTTTACGTCGACGTCGCTGGGCCGTGTACTTTGCGTGCGCGTACCGAGGCGCAATGCTGCGTTGACGGCCGCTCCTACTGCATGGCTCATGCTGCCGCTGTCCGCCGCGACCGCGGGGTCGCCTCCCTCGCAGCAATCATGCCCATCGAGGACTACGACGATGCCTCCATTGAGCCGTTCGTTCTCGCCCCTATGGCGGACGAGTGCCCGCATTGCCGCGCACTCATGTTCACCGAGGAGCGCACTGGAGCTGACTCCCACTTCAACCTCTGCTGCTCCAACGGCAAGCTGAAGTACTTGTGGGACGACGCTAGCTGCTTCGGCTGCCCCGACCCTCTGCGACAACTGATCGAGTCCACAGACAAGCGGGCGCGGGACTTCCAAGACAAAATCCGATGCTACAATTCTGCTCTCTCGTTCGTTTCCTTCGGTGCCACACTGTCCTTGCCGCCTGGGGCCAGCTCCACTGGGCCGCCCGTGTGCATGCTGCACGGTGCGCTCTACCATTACAGCTACGCGCTTGAGCCTCTGGGTGCGGAGACGCCAAAGTTCGGGCAACTCTACATCTACGACCACGCAGAGGCCCACCGCCGCCGCCTCAACTTCTGGACCGACCTTCAAGCGGACATCTTGCATGACCTCGGCAACATGATCGAAACGTGCTCGCCTTTCGTAGGTAAGTACCGCCAGATGAAAGAGCTCGCGGACCAGTACCTCGCGGCCGGCCGCGAGGACGTCCACCTTGGATTCGCAGCCGCTACCACTGGCGACGTACGACGATACAACCATCCCACGAAGGAAGAGGTCGCCGCGGTGTTCGTCGCCGAGGATGGCGCGCCGCCCGGAGGACGCGACCTGGTCTCCGGCTGCAACTGCCCACTCGCACCAGCTTCCATTGCACGTCGACTGTCGCCCCAAGACTGCTGTCCCGCCTTCCTCCCCGCCGCCACCTCGCAACAACCTGCACCCCTTCATCTCCATACAAGACCATCCGCGCCCGCATAGACCGCCCTGTCCCCCATTCTGCCCCGCCCGCTATGCTTCTTTCCTCTCGCCCTCCCTCGCTGCCCTCGCGTTCCTGCGCCCCCACCTCATCGTCATCGCGACACCCGCATTCGTGTACATGGAGGCGTCGGCTTGCCGGACGCAGGGGGCTCATCATGAGCATCCTCCGCACCACCATCATCACCATCACCATCCTCATCACCACCACCATCCTCCAAAGCACAGCGACCCTGAGCATAATTTTTCGAGCGCGTTGTAGTTCGCCGCGGCATGAAGCAGCCAGAATGCAAACCCGGGGTGGACCCCGCAGTTGCTTTTCGGAGGTATCATTGCCATCATCCTCGTTATCATCTTCATCGTCATCATCGTCCTCATCGTCCTCACCCTTATCATCATCGCCTCCGCTTCATCCCCCCCTTTCTCTCTCTCTCCTCCACTTCCGCTCTGCCCCGCCCGCTTTCCTCTCGCCCTCCCTCGCTGCCTTCGCGTTCCTGCGCCCCCACCTCATCGTCATCGAAACACCCGCATCCGTTTACATGGAGGCGTCGGCTTGCCGGACGCAGGGGGCTCATCATGAGCATCCTCCGCAACACCATCATCACCATCACCATCCTCATTCCCACCACCATCTTCATCAGCACAGCGACCCTGCTCATAATTATTCGAGCGCGTTGTCGTTTGTCGCGGCATGAAGCGGCCGGACATGCAAACCCGGGGTGGACCCCGCATTTGCTTTTCGGAGGTATCATTGCCATCATCCTTGTTATCATTTTCATCGTCATCATCGTCCTCATCGTCCTCACCCTTGTCATCATCGCCTCCGCTTCATCCCCCTCTCTTTTTCTCTCTCTCCTCCACTTCCGCGTCCCCCAGCCCGCGGGCGGTCTCCAGGACAGTCGACGTGCGATCCGAAGCCTCCCTGCGAGTCGGCTGGTGCTCTCAGGTTCTCTGGCCTCGCGATGCCGCGGCCCCCGTGCACCGGGTCAACGACAGCAACGAGCACGTCGACCCATGCACATACGTGTTGCTCTTCCCGCACGGAGACCTCGGTTGGAACTGGCACTTGCAACGCCACCCGGACCGCGCGTCCACCTCATACACGCGAGTCACTCCCATGCAGTTTTACGCCTCCAAACTTATGGTGCGACCCCACCGGGGGCCCCTGCCGCACGCTGGCCGCTTCCTCTTTCAGCAGTACATCGTCGATGGGTACTGCAAGGCAGAGTCTCACCGCCTAGAGTACCTCCGCCTGAACCAATTTCAGCTCCGAGCGGAATCTTATAAGGGCTTGTGCGATTACGTCGAGGGGCTCTCTTCAGGCGCCGCCCCGCAGAGGATCGGCCGCCCAGTGATCCTGCCGTCCACGTACCCAGGCTCTCCCAGACATTGCCACCAGAACTACTTGGACGCCATGTCCATCGTGCGCAAAACTGGAAAGCCGGATTACTTCGTGACCATGACGGCGAGTCCGTCCTGGCCGGAGGTCCTGTGCAATTTGGGCCCGGGCCAGCATCCACGCGACCGGCCCGACTTGGTCGCCCGCGTCTTCCACCTCAAATGGAAGCAGCTCCTCAAAGAAATCCTCCAAGAAGGCGTGCTCGGATCCGTCGTCGCCTACTGTTGGTGCGTCGAGTTTCAAAAACGCGGCCTCCCTCACGGACACCTCCTCGTCACCGTTGCGCCAGTTTTCAAGGCCAAATCACCAGAAGACATCGATCGCAGAGTTTGCGCCGAGTTTCCTCCTCAGCATCGCGGCGCCCAGAAAGAACTTGCCGGGGTCATTGCCGCCTGCATGATGCATGGCCCATGCGGCGCGAGGAACCCTTCCGCCCCTTGCCTTCGAGCCGACGGGTCTTGCGAGAAGGGCTACCCTAAGGAGTTCTCCGACACTACGGAATTCGCAGAGGGCGCGTATCCCACGTACCGCCGAAGGAGCTCACTTGACAACCCCATGAAAGACGGCACGCCTTTGGACAACAGAGATGTAGTACCCTACAACGCGTACTTGGCCCGGCGGTTCCAGTGCCACCTCAACGTCGAACTCGTTGCCTCCTTGAAGTCGGTGAAATACCTGTTCAAATACGTGCACAAGGGGCACGGCAGGGCAGCGCTCCAATTGCAACACAACGGCGACGAGATCGCGGCTCACGTGGACGCGCGGTACGTCGGACCTGCCGAAGCATGCTGGCGCCTCTTCTCCTTTCCGTTGCACGGCATGTCCCACAGTGTCGAGCGACTCGCCGTCCACCTCCCTGGCTGGCAGACCGTGCTGTTCGAGGAAGGCCAGGAACGCCAGTCCATCGAGTCCGCTGCTCGGAAGCCCTCCACCCTCGAAGCCTGGTTCGCATTCAACATGGACAACCCTGCCTTCGCCACCGTCGCCTACATCGACATGCCCTTGCACTGTGTCTGGCAAAAGCAGAACGGCCGCTGGAAGGAGCGCCAACGCGGGAAACACAAAGTCATTGGCCGTCTGTGCTCCGCCTCGCCTGCGGAAGGTGAACGGTATTTCCTGTACATCCTGCTCTTGCACGTGCCGGGCGCCACCTCGTGGGAGGACCTCCGCCGAGTCGCAGGGCAGCGCGAACCCGCGGCCACCTTCCAAGACGCTGCGAGAGCCCGGGGCCTCATCGAGGACGCCGACGAGATGCGCCTCGCCATGGTCGACGCCGTCGCTCGGTAGATGCCCGCGCAGCTCCGACACTTCTTCGCCAACTTGCTGCTCAATGCCGGGGCCGGCATCGCCGCCGGCGACCTGTGGACGGAGTTCGCCCCTGCTCTCTGCGAAGACTACACTCGATCCAGACCCGCGGAAGTGGCCCGTGATCTCGCTCTCCAAGACATCCAGGACGCGCTCCAAAAGCGGGGCAAGAAGAACTCCGACTTCGACGGGTTGCCGGACCCGGCCAATTTCGACAGGGACTTGTGGCTCAATGCGGACCTCGCGGCTGAGCTCCGCTTCGACCCGGCCCAGGAGCGCGACCACGCCAACACCTACCGCGCGCATGTACCCGCAGCAAGCGAGAGCATTCGACGACATCGCCGCTGCACTTCGGCAGGGCGCGGGAGGTGTGTTCTTCGTCGACGGACCCGGTGGGACAGGCAAGTCTTTCTTGTTCCAGGCGCTCATTCATTACGCCCGTGGCCTCCGCAAGTTGCCGCTTGCTTGCGCTTGGAGCGGCGTGGCCGCGGCGCTCCTGTCCAACGGCCGCGCTGTTTCCTCAAGATTCGGCCTCCCCGTGCCGCTGCCCGACGAGAATGCTCAATCCTCAGTCACCGCTCAGAGCGCCAGAGGGCGCGTCCTGTACGCTGCGCACATCATCTTGTGGGACGGAATCTCTATGACACCGCTGGAGGCCCTCCACGCAGCTGACCGTGCCCTGCGCGACATCCGCCGCTGCGAGGCCCCTTTCGGGGGCAAGGTCCTCGTGCTCGCTGGCGATTTCCGGCAGGTCCTCCCCGTGGTGCCCCGGGCGGACGAGGAGAAGATCAAAGCTCATGCGGCCGCGCGCCACCCCGCATTCACCACAGGCATGGTGCGCGCCCACTCCCTGGCCCAGAACCGGCGCGCGAGCAACGACCCCGCCTTCGCGGAGTTCCTCTTGGAGGTCGGCGACGGCCGCTTGCCCGTGCACCCCTCCGTCGGCCCCGCCGCCGTGCTTCTGAACGACGACATCCTCGCCCCGCCGGGCACGACGTACGAATCCCTCGCGCCCTGGGTCTTCGGGTCCGTCGTCGACGCCGGCCTCTCCCTCGCAGCGGCCGTGTCCCCAGTGCCGCCCGACGCCCTCCAGTGCCTAAGCTCCGCAGCCGTCCTCGCCCCGAAGAACGACGTGGTGCAATCTTTCAACGACGCCGTCCTCGCTCCCCTCCCGCCCGAATCCGTCGTGGAGCACTGCAGCGTCGACCGCGTCGGCGGGGGCACCGATGATTGATGATTACGCCAACTACCCGGTCGATTTCCTTAACTCCCTGGAACTATTCTCGGCGAGCACGGTCCTCCTTTTCGCAAGCCGCGCTCGCTCGCAGACGCGCGCGACCGCAACGGCAGCCAGCCCCCTGTTGGCCCCCGCGCGGTCGGGCGGAGCACTGCGACGACCTTCCGCCTGCTCGCGAAGGGCGGGTCCTTGCTCGCCGGGCCCTCCGGCCTCCCCTTGCACACGCTGCGCCTCTGCGCGGGGGCCGTCGCCATTCTGATGCGCAACATCAACGCCGAGCTCGGCCTCTGCAGCGGCATTCGAGCAGTTGTGGTAGCGTGCAAGCCGCGGGCGCTCGACGTCCTGATCCTCGCAGGCGTCCCCATCAGGAGAATCCCACGCGCCCCCTCCTCCTCCCCCTCCTCCTCCTCCTCCCCCTCCTCTCCCCGCCCCAAAACCTTCCTCGGAATTTCTGGGTTCCCCGCCCGTTCAGGACCTCTCGGAACGCCAGTTTTCCTGCCCTCCGCGTTGGGATTTCCGCAGGTAAATGCGCTGGAGAACGACACTTCATCCCGCGCATCCCCATGTCTTCCAAGGAGGGCGACCTTCCGTTCATCATGGTCAGGCGCCAGTTCCCCATCAAACTCGCCTGGGCCATGTCGATCAACAAAGCTCAGGGCCAAAGCCTGCATCGCGTCGGGCTCCTCCTCGAGGATCCGGTGTTCGCCCACGGGCAGCTCTACGTGGCACTCTCTCGCGCTGGGGGCTACGCCCACGTCAGAGTCATTGTCGGCCCTTCCGACGAGCACGGCGCTCGCGAGGCGTCCGCCGATCATCCAGCCGGCGCGTTCACTGACAACGTCGTCTACCGTGACATTCTGGGCCAAGCGCGACAGAGCCCGCCCGCAGATAGGCCGCTGCCCCCGGCGGGTGGCCAGACACGCGGCTCTGCGCCAGAAGCTGCCCCAACTAATGCTACCCGAACCCGCCGGAGCGTGCCGCCGCAGGCGCCAGCCGCCCAAGGCGGCGCGCCTGCGCCTGGCGAGCGACTGCGCGCCCGCGTCCACCCGCGGCCTGCCCCGTCTACTTCGAACGCCAGCGAGAGGCACGCTGCGGCCTTCATGCGCTGAACAACGCCCTGGGCTTCGACTTCCTCACAGTCGCGGACATGACCGCTGCTTGCACTCTGCACTTGGACGAGAGCGCCATGGAGGGCAACCCCGAACCACGGCACCTGCACGAAAGTGACGGCGGTTGGTACAGCGAAGCGGTCCTGGCCGTCGCCCTGCGTATGAAACAGAATTTGTTCCGCCTCAACTTGGACAACCCTTTGCAGGCCACTCCGGCAGGCCCTCCCCTTCACCTCTGCTGCCCCTCTTCCCCAGGAGACCTCCCGCGCCCTGGGCGAGCGAGGTTCCGCTTGCGCCTCCGCCCTCGCAGGTCTGCGAGCGACGGGCTGGCGGGCCCCCTCCCGCGCCCGCCCCCCCCACAAAAGCACGGGCTCATCATTTTGCAACCCCGCCCCGCGCAAGGCCTCCTGCGCCTGAACGCCGAAGCGGTGTCCAGCGCAGTCATCAACAAAGACCAGTCGCATTGGGTGGCCCTGCGGGTGATCGACGGTGACACTTGGCGCTTGGACAGCGACGCGGGGGCATCGGTGCTCTCCGTGAGCGACGCTCTGGAGTTCCTCGCTCGGTACCCCAACGCATTCTTCGTCGAATACCTTCACCGCTGACGGCGTGGCTCCGGCTAGCGGCCGCCTCCACCCCCAGCGCGCTCACGAGGCCAGCCAAAGCGCTCCTCCGTCCGCGCACCACGCCCGCAGGACCCCATTCTACAAAACGTTGCGGCTGCCCATGCCCCCGCGCTCCGCACGCGCGGGCACGCCCACTCGCGCTGCGCAGCTCCTTCGGCTCAAGCCTGCAGCGGCGCGCCCTGCGCGACGAGCGTGCCCTTCCAGCGCCCCCCATTCCCTGCTATGCCTGCGGCCGCTCGCCGCGTCGGCTGGACGGTTGCTGCCGCGGCGCTGCTTGCGCTCGCGGCCGCCGCGCGCCCCCGTCATTCCACAGCCGCTTCGCGGACGCCGCCGGCCTCGGCCGCCGCGCGCTGGGCGGCTGAGGCGCGCGGCGCGCCGACGCGCCCGTGCCCTTCGCAAGCTCGCCTGCTCACCGCGGGGATCGCTTTGCGCCTGCAGCTGCTCGTGCGGCTCTTCGTCCAGCTCCTCGGCGGGGCCGCGGTCGCGGCCATCGCCGCCGCGGGCGTGCCTGTCCTGATGCTGCCCGCCACGCCCCCCAAGCTGCGCAAGACGAACTCGGGCGCCCGCGTCCCCGGGTCGGCATCCGGCCAGGACGTCCGGCCACAGGGCATTCTCTGTCAGAGCAGGGCGGTCCGAGACACGAAAGGTCCAAAGTGGCCCCTGGACCCCTCCCGGGATCCGCCCGACCCCGTTTTCGGTGCTGCGTCCAGCCATGGCGGCCAGGAACCCCTCCTGGGAGCCACGTAGCGGTGTCTCAACGGCCCTCTCCTGATTCGAACCTCCCGGTGCTCCTGCAGTTCACCCCCCGCCGCCCCCTCCTCCGACCCCAACGCCCCACTCATGAGAACTGCGGGAACGCTTGGAAGTGAGAGATGCCCGGACGGCCGCTTGGCAGGGCGCCGCGGCTGGAGCCCCGGGCGGCGCTTCCAACACAGGTGCCCCGCCGCCGGTGCGCCCCAGCCAACAACGGGTCCAGGCGCTGCCGCCGCCAAGACCGGCGCGGGCCCCTGCAAGGCCGCCGAATGCGCCCATCAGGATCACGGTCCGAAAGTGCACGAACAACTCCCAGGACGTCGTGTCCACAATGCCGGCAGGCGAGCCTCTCACGCAAATCATCATCCAACGCGAGGCGCACCCACGAGTGGACGCTAACATTATTCAGGCCCTGAACGCCTACTGCCTGGCCGCGCAGGACGAGCTCGCAGAGGGAGACACTTTCGCGCGCAATGTCCAGGAACTCCAGCGGGACTACGGCCTGCACGTGGTCATCACGCGCAACCAGCAGAACCCGCAGCGGGCCGAGTGTTCCGAACCCCTCCCCGCCGTAACCAAACCTCCCCCCCTCGCTCCAGACCGCTGCTCCCCGAGACCGGCACGATGTCGTGCTGGCCCCGGTGCTTCGGCTGGCCTTCGTTGACCCCTTCCCCACATTCTCGCGGCCCCCCCCAAATCTCCGACCATCGTCTGCTCAGACTGCGGCGCCGCCCGCAAAGGGTGGCAGCCGCGCGGCCCTTGCCCCTGCAGTCCCCGTCTGGACCGTCCTTTCAACATATTTTGACCCCCTCTCGGCAGGCTCCTTTCGAGAACGGCCGCGTCGCTTTTTACAAAACGGGCGACGAAGAGGACGCGAAGGCAGCGCTGGACATGATAGTGAACGGATACATCCAGCACCGCGTCCGGAACCCTCTGCAGGGAATCGACCGCAAGCAGTTCCCCGACCCGGCGGCCATCGCTGTGCACGTGCACCCGTTCACGGGCATCGATTTCTTGGGTGAGCACGGGAGAGACTCCGACCTCACCACGACCGTCCACGACCCCCAGCGGGTTCTGCCCATGACGCTGCACTCCGCGGCCGCGCCCGGAAGCTCCGACCAGAAGATCTTGCTCGCCGTCCTGGAGTTCGTCACCGACGCCTCCGTGGCGATTTCGATCACAGGCCGCACCTACGTTTTCCGCTCTAGGTTCGATGCCGCCGGCATTCCTTTGAACGAGGCGGACAGCGCGGAGCGGGCAAGGGTGATCAACGACCACTCCGTGGCCACGCAGTCGGACCTCGACATGCTCCTCGCCATCTTCGGCAACGCCGTCTTGAAAGGTCACGCAGTGCTGGTGAAAGCCGTGAACAAGCCTGCGGAGGACTCCGCGGCGCACCGCTTCCAGGAGGCCCTGAAAGACCTGCCCAGCATAGAGTTCCAGGAGAGCGAGTAGACGGCGCCTGCTGCGTAGCCGACATCCGCCGCCCCCGCCTCCCCGCTGATGCCCCTCTTGCACTCTGCTGTCTCCTGCGCTCTCTGGTCCCCGTCTCTGCCGCGAGAGCTCGGCGCCCTATGTGGCGCCCGCGTGTCGTCTGCCGTCCCCTCTGCCTCCCATCCAGTTGAGGCCATCCGACATCGTCGTGCGCTCTTCTGCCTGCCGTCCCTCCAGTTCCATGCCGGCGCGCCGCGGACCCGAGCCCGCCCTCTGGCGGGAACGCCAGCGCCTGCGGACTTCCCGCTGCCGCGCCCCCCGTCGCATCTGTTTGAATGCGAAACAATTCCCTCTTGCCTTCGCCAGCCCCTCTTGCCTTCGCCGACCCATTCGTCGCCGCCGTCGCCGCCGTCGTCGCCGCCGTCGTCATGGTCGTCGCCGTCGCCGTCGCCGTCGCCGTGGTCGTCGTCGTCCTCATCGTCGTCGTCGTCGTCGCCGTCGCCGTCACCGTCGCCGTCACCGTCGCCGTCGCCGTCGCCGCCGTCGCCTTCGTCGTGGTCGCCGTCGCCGCCGTCGTCGGCGCCCGCTTCCTTTGCGCGCGGGCGCAGAGAAGCAAACGCGGGGTGGACCCCACATTTGCTTTCGGGCGTAGCCCGAATGTGTTTCTCGCGGAGTGAAGTGAACTGAACTGAACTGACTGAACTGAACTGAACTGACTGCACTGACTGACGGGCCGCGACCATTAGGCGACAGTTCTATTTCGGCCGGTCGAGGGCGCGACCTATGGCGCATCCATTAGGCGACAGCTTCATTTTCGGCCAGCCGAAGGCGCAGCATATGGTGCATCCATTAGGCGACAGTTCAATTGTAGGCCAGCCGTGGGCGCAACCTATGGCGCATTCGTTAGGCGACCGTTCCATTTTCGGCCGCCCGAGAGCGCAGCGCAGCGGACCCGGCGGAAACCGTGACACACCCCAGCGCCGTCGAGGACGACGGCGGCGGCGTCGGCGGCGGCGACGGCCGCGGCGACGCCGCGGCCACCAGAGAGCCGACGGCGGCGCTCGGCGAGCGGCCCGCCCACGACGCCTCCGCCGCCGCCGCCGTCGTCGTCGACGTCGTCGTCGCCGTCGCCGCCGTCGGCGCCGCCGTCGTCGTGGTCGTCGCCGTCGCCGTCACCGTCGCCGTCGCCGTCGCCATCGTCGTCGTCGTCGTCGTCGTCGTCGTCCTCGTCGTCGTCGTCGTCGTTGTCGTCGTCGTCGTCGTCGTCGTCACCGTCGCCGTCGCCGTCGCCGTCGCCATCGCCGCCGCCGTCGCCGTCGCCGCCGTCGCCGTCGTCGTCGTCGCCGCCGTCGTCGCCGTCGTCGGGGACCGCTTCCCTTGCGCACGGGCGCCGAGAAGCAAACACCGGGTGGGCCCCGCATTTGATTTCGGGCGTACCCCAAAATTGATTCTCGCGAGGTAAACTGAACCAAACTGAACTGCCTGAACTGAACTGAACTGTCTGAACTGACTGAAAGATCGCGACCATTGGGCGACATATTCATGTTCGGACAACCGAGGGCACAACCTATGGCGCATCCATGAAGCGATAGTTTCCTGTCCGGCCAGCCGAAAGCGCAAATTATTGCGCATCCGTGAGGCGACAAATTTGTTTTCAGCTGGCCGACGGCGCAACATATGGCGCATCCATTAGGCGACAGTTTCATTTTCGGCCGGCCGAGGGCGCAACCTATGGCGCATCCATTAGCCGACCGTTTTATTTTCGGCCGGCCGAGGCCGCAACTCATGGCGCATCCATTGGGCGACAGCTTCATTTTCGGCCATCCGAGGGCGCAACCTATGGCGCATCCATTGGGCGACATTTTTATTTTCGGCCGGCCGAGAGCGCAATCTGCGCCGCAAACAACGGCAGCCTGTTTATTCTCGGCGTGCGAGGGGCCAACCTGTGGCGCAAGCTTTAGGAGTCCGTTTCTTCTCGGCGGGCGAGGGCGCAACCTACGGCGCACGCAATAGGAAACCTTTTCATTCTCGGCAGACGAGGGCGCAACCTATGGCGGCCGTTTCAATGTGGGCAGCCGCGCGCGCCAATGGCGCATCCGATTCACTCGCTTCGCATACTCCGCCGGACCCTATGGTATGATCGTTGGGGTTGCGCTGATGGTTCGTGGCCAATGCGGCCCCGCTGAGGATGAGGCCGAGGAGGAGAAAGAGGAGGAGAGGAGGGAGGAGGAGCGGCAGGGGAGGGATGGGGGAGGAGGAGCAAGAGGAGGAGGAGTAGTAGGAGGAGGAGGAGGAGAGGCTGAGGAAGGAGACGGAGGAGGAGGAAGTTTCTTCGGGCATCTTCGGGGCCTCTTGGGATATTTCGGGGCCGTCTTGGGCAGACGCACTCGGCCGTTTTCGATATTTTTCGGTTGTCTGGGAGCCTCCTGGGACTTCAGGCAGGGGAACTGTTCGACCGGGGTCGCCCCGGGTTCGGCCCAGCGCGTGCGAACTAGACATATTTGCACGCCTCTTGCCCGAGGGGCCGGCGAATTCTCCTCGTCCGTAGCCGGTGTGGCTCGAGGCATGCGCTGGCGCTTAGCCGTTTTGGCTCAATTCTGACTCAAGCAACCCCCAATCGGCTTTTCCAGCATGGACGAGGTCGACATTGATGCACAGATTTTGGCGCTGCCCGCGAGACGCGTCTACGGAGGGCAGTCTTCTGGAAGCTCCCGGAACGCGCTCACGTATGCAGTGTTCGAGGACACCCGTAGCAAACGAGGTTCTGCTGGCCTGGCGAAGTCGTGGCAGATGGAATCGTTTCTGCAAGGCTTCCTAAGTGCATTCCCAATGTACGCTGCTGCGCCGACTGCGTTTCTGCTCGCAGCATTCTACTATGCGTATGTGGCCTTACGTGTCGTTATCCGTGCTGGGCGCCCGGTCTTCAGGCACTTCGCAAAGTTCGACGCCTGCCGCGCCACTTTGTTCTACGCTATAGAGCTGTTCCCTGCCCCAGGCCAGGGAAAAACATACAACACGTTCGCCCTCCTCCCATCCCTTCTTCCGTGAGATGGCGGGGAGATGGTTCGGGAGGGGGGGCGTTGTTGTCGTCTTTCCTCTGACCAGGCGAGTCACCGTTCGCGCCGCGGCTCCGCGTATGCAGCGCCGCCTTTCTGACCTACCGGAACTACTACTCCGATTATTTGCAGGCCGGACCTCAGGCACCCCTCCGCACCTGCATTCCAGAGTTGCGCATTATGGATTTTTCGAGCCTCTTGTTCGTCTCATTGCAAAGGCATTTGCACGACGTGCGTCGCCCCACTTGGGAAGAGATCCAGCGAGAGAGGGGGCGCGCGAACACTTCCGGGCTTCTGACCATTGACACGCTGTTTAAAAGAAGGAAAGTCGAAGATTGCGTGGGCCACCCGCAAGACGACCCCTTCTATGATGACTGGCGTGGCCTCGGCGGTTGTAGGCTAACCCCGCCGACAGACAGGTGGTTCGCTCTCTTGCTGGAGTGCTGGCATGTAGCTGCAGACGTATCCCCGGACGTATGTTGGGTCTTGTCGACTCTGAGTCTCACCCGTTCGACGGGGATTTTTACATGCATGGTCGCGCGCTTGCGTAAGCAGCCGGACATGTCCGTGGATGACATGGTGGGCGTCCTCCGCGCAGTGCCCGCCGAAGATTTCAAGCCGCAGACGCACACGTTTGACACATCTACGATGTCTGTGAGCTCTGTGGAAGAGCAGATCAGGGCCGTGCTGGCGGCGCTGCCTAATTTCGTCCGGGAGGTCGGTTGCCTTCAGGCGTGGGTGCGAGTGAAGATTGCGAACGTGGGCCCCTTCCGAAAACAGCACTTGCTTGGGAACCTCGCGTGCCTGCAGCGCCGTCACCCCAAAACATCACTGGCGGCTTGCATCCCGGAGGGCTTGTTTCAATTCGTTGACGCGCCTGAGAGCGGAGCGATGGGCGGCGAGTGCAAGCTTCTGGACACTTTCGCCCCTCTGATGTCTGAGCGCAACACGTCACTCGTAGCCAAGGATTTCCTGCGCCAATACGACACCCCGAAGCGCATTGACGGCTACTTGAATCTCGCGCAGGAGGTGCGCGCAGAGGACGCCTCAATGTCAGAAGCTAAAACTTTGATATGCGATGCTTATGCTTTTTTGAGGCGCCCCGCGGTATGGCCGCACTTGCATCGCATGAAGGTGCAAAGTGCCGGCGGCGTCTTCGAGCTTCTTCGTGAGAGGGAGGCTTTCTCATTCTTCATGTATTTGACGAATATGTGTCAGGCATGCCATAGTGAGCGCGATGCATCCTCGTAGCCTTGCTCCTCCTGGAGCCTCATCCCGCGCGGGCCTCAAAAGCAGCGAAGAAGAAGCTTCGCCATCCTCATCATCACCGCCACCACCGTGATCATCATCATCAACCTCGGCAGCGCGACCCCTGAGCGTAATTTTTCGAGCGCGCGGTCGTTTGCCACGGCATTCAGCGGGCGGAGAAGCAAACCCGGGGTGGACCCCGCAGTTGCTTTTTCGGAGGCAATCGATTTTCGGACGCAGGGGGCTCAAAGGCATCATTGTCATCATAATCATCATCAACATCCTCATCACCATCATCATCGTTATCTTTTTTATCGCTATCGTCGTCCACATCGTCCTCACCCTTAGCAACGTCGTCACAACGGCGGCGGCGACAGCGTCTACGGCGACGACGACTTCAGCGACGACGACGAAGACGGCGACGATGATGATGATGATCATGATGATGGTGATGATGATGACCTGCAGCGTTTGCTGACGGCGTCGCGCAACCCTGAACTCACCGCCACGGTTCGGTTCCCCGGGCTCCGTGGATTTAATCCACGGGTCCACACTAGTGTATATATATATACAGACAGACGGAGGAGGGTGGAGGTGGAAGGACAAGGGAGCTTCAAGGGGAACCCAACCAGAGGCACCTTAAGGGCGGTGGCCTAAGGATGGGTCCGAATTGGGACCTGAAGGCGAGCCCACAGTGAGTTCAAAGCGGGGAGCCAATGATGGGGAGGGGCGGGGCTGGGTGGGAGCGGGCGGGGCGGTTCCACGATTGATGGAAGAAGGTGTGCGGGCAAGGGGGGCTCGCATGGGGCTCCAAACAGAGGCGCCTTGGAGGGCGGGGGCTGAAGGATGGGGCCCAAGTGGGACCTTAAGGTGAGCCCACAGCGAGTTCAAAGCGGGGGCCCACGGATGATGATATTGAGAGTGGGTTGGAAAGGGAGGGGCGGTAAGAAGATTGATGGATGGTGGAAGGGCAAGGGGGGCTCAATGGGTGACCCAAACGGAGGCGCTTTGAAGGGCGGAGGCTTTGAGGGTGGGGCCCAATTGGGACCTGAAGACGAGCCCAAAATGAGTTCGAAGCGGGGTGCCACGGATGGAGACGGGGACACAGGCCGGCTGAAGTACACCGCGGCATGGAGAGAAGGGGCGCCAGTTCAAGGGCTCGCATCGGCGTTCGAGGCCGAGGCCTTGGCACTAGAAGCGGGCTTGCGGTGGCTGGTGACTGCGCCGCTACCCTCCTGACCTTAGATCACTGACACTTCGGGCGGGCCAAGGCCCACGCTCTGTCGAAAGAAGAAGAAGAAGAAGAATGTCATCTGAAAGTCATCTCTGAAAACCTGGCCGCGACATGGAAAAACGTGCGGGTCTTTTCGATGTTGTCCTGAACTTGGGCTTGAATGTGACCGCAGGCTTCAACTCCCATCCGAATTTGCCAAGGCTCGCCTCGAAAATGAAATCGCAAACAGAAATCTAAAATCGCACTGCCACGCAGTGCACCGACGCGTCTCAGCGGCGCCCCCGCGCCCAAGGAGAGGAAGAACTGGTTCAGAAGACGCGCGCAGGCAAGCATTCTGGCACGTGCCCCCCCTCCTCTTCGCCCCCGTTCTCCAGTTGAGCTTCCCTCCTATCTTGCTCTTTCTCCTGAGCGAGCTCGGGCGGCGCGGCAGCCGAAAGGTCCGAGCCGAGCTCCTGCCAAAGGGAGCAAGGGCCCCGGCCCGGCAGCGCCGTGGCATCCAGGGCTGCGACGCGCTGAGCCAAGTGCTGCGCTGCGGAAGCCCAAGCGGCGACCGTGCGCTCCTTGGCCAAGTCGTTGGCTATCCACTGCGCGCGCCTCCCCAGACGTCGGCGCAGCTCTTCGCCCCGCCGTGCCTTCGAGGGGGGGGGGGGGGGGGGGGGCGCGCGCCCTGCCCCTGCCGCGTGCGGAGCCCGTCTCGCTCGTTTAGGATGTCCGCCAGCAGGCGCAAGTGGAACGCGCGCCTGCTGACGGTCAGGCCTCACCATCGGCGCCCTGCCTGGGCGGGGCCCTCCTCCAAGGCCAAAGCGGGCCGCGACCGCGGAAGCGCGCGGCGTCGAACTAGAACCTCGAGCTTCGAAGCGGCCATGGTGGCCGCGCGCGCGGTGTCTAGCTCCTCTCCCGGGGCCAGTCGCGCACCGCCAATTCGGGCCACGCCCGAGGCTCGCGGTCGCACCCGATGGGCCTCCCCAGCGGCAGCGGAGCGGGCGCGCGAGGCTGGCGAACCCACGGTGCGCGGGCGGGCGCGCAGGGTGGGCGGCGCGGGCTCGTGGGACACGTCCACTAGATATACTTGGCGCCGCCGCAGTCGGGAGTCCAAGTAGAAGTAGTCCAACGCATGCCATTCGCCGCGACGCCGGCAGGTCCCTGCCGCGGGCGCCACCACGAGGCCCCCGAGCTTGACCAGAGGCTCACACGCAGAGAACTCCTCTGGCGACATGTTGGCGTCAAGCCGTCAACGCTCATGATCCACGGGCACGTCTGCTCCTGGAGCAGCGAAGAGACGCGGTGCGCGATTTGCATGCTCTGGGCGCCCCAACCGACGGAGTCGACCAAGTGGGCCAACGCTGGGATCACACCCTGCCGCGGGTTTAGTCACGCGCGTCCACGTGACCAAGTATCATTATTATATGGTCATATACCGCTACTGTGCCGGGCCAGGCATTGGCAACACAGGCGCAGAGCGATGCCCTCTGCGCAGCGCCGAGATGGCCCTCGCTCAACGTCTCGACTCTTCCGGGGGGCGCGTGCCAACGCTTGAGAACCGGGTCTGCGCGGTCGAGCAGCAGTTACCTGAAGGACTGCACTGGCTGAGTTGCGTGTTGCACGGGCCCGGGCTGCACAGCTGGGCGCCCCGACTTCGGTTTGCGATTTCGCCTCTCTCGAAGCCAAAATGGCCGAGGTACAGATGGCGGCGGACCGCGCGCAGCTACGACTCACCCAGATCTCCCATGAAAAGGGGCACCGAAAAGGCACGGGCAGAGGAAGCACTCACCTGTTTGGAACAAGAGAGCGAAGCACACCATCGACGAATCCAGGACTTAGAACAATGGCTGGACAGGTACTCCCAGCGGGCCCATTAACGATGATATGCGTGGCATGCGCCAGAGTGTTCACAAAATGCAGCACGACATCACGACCCACGAAGCTACGCTGACAGCCCACGCGGCCAACGCTCAAATCCACCATCGAGCTCCGCCTCCTGACTATCGAAAGGACCGGGTCTCTACATGTGCCCATGGTGACATCCGCACAGGCCCTACGCGACGTGCATCGCCAGGTGCCGCCTCCGCAGCGGCTGCCACGCAGACACGTCACGTTTCCCCCGCGCGACCCCCCTCACCCACCCTACCGGTTCCAACGCAGACTTTGTCACACCTCTCACTACCCAGTGCAACTCCAATCGAGGACTCCGACACCGCACGCATGCCACAATTGCCACGCATTACACAAATATAAGGGTGTCAACATATGGTTCACAATATCTTTGGTCGTGCTTCCGGACGCCCTGCCAAGGCCTACGCATAGCTATGCGTTGCAGAACAACCCACCACGACCTACGAGGACCTCCACGACAGCGGCGACCTCGAGAGTACTGGCTGCAAAATTGCAGCTGGACTGTCCGCCGCCCTCAATTCTGAGCTGCGCTACCGGCTCAAGAACCTCGCAGCTCAGGAAAAGAAAGCTGGCCGCATGCTCAAGGGTAGACAGATTTACTGGACGATACTACAATCCTACAAGGTCACTGCAGCCGACGGCGCAATCCATGATTTCGAGCATCTACAACTGATGCGCATGCGGGACGACGACCTCCAACGGTTTTTCGTGGATTGGGACAATATGTTGTTGGAGTGCCGCGGACCACCTGACACGTGCGTACTCGAGTCGTTATTCCGAGCCCAGATACGCCTAGCCTACACTATCTGATGAAGCAGGATATGCACGACTACAACAATATGGCTCACGACGACCCAAACAAAACATACGAGTGGCTTCGTAAACGTGTTCTCGCCAACCTCGAACTACTCCGACTTGAGCGCAACCATCACAACCTCAAGAACGAATCGAGCCGACGCGACTCTGTGATTTGTGCAACGTTTAAGTTTGGCCGGTGCAAGAATGGTGAACGGTGCAAAATGCTGCGCGCTGGGTCTAGCAGCCGCCCCGCGCCGCGACCTCCACGACGATCAGCTACCCGCTGCAGGGGCGCCCGCGACAGACGACCCTCCACTGGCCGATCCTCTGGCCCACCGCAGGAGGATAACACCAAGCAGAACTTTTGCTTTGCATTCGCGAAACACGGCTCCTGCCCTTTCCAAGATCGTGGCAAATACCCCCACATTCCGAAATTTACTTTCCAAGCGGGCCCGAAGTTGACATGCAAGCATGGAAACCGCTGCCGCAATGCGCGCATTGACCCTGGCGCTAAGACTCCCGATAGGAGCCCTGTTCGGCCTTCCAGCCGAGACAGCCGCAACTGGGCGCCCTCCCCGCGACGTGCGGGGGGCCAGAAGCCTTCGCCCTGCGAGGGCCGGCACCGATCCCGTAGTTCGGGGGGCGCGCGTCGGTCGCGACGAGGCTCGCCGTCTCCCGGGCGCGGGGGGCGCTCCGACTCACGTGGTCCAGGGGTCGCGGCTGGTCACCCCGCTCCCCGCCGCGCTCCCGTTTCTCATCGCGGCGCTCTAATCGGGACCGCTACCGTGGACGCTCACCCGCCAGAAGTGATGGGGCCGGCAGCCGATCCACATCCCGTCGCAACAGCCGCTCACCGTCTGCTCGTGATCGTGCCAGATCTTCCGCAGCAAGGGGGTGCGACCGACGACGTGATCACACATATGTGACCCGTGGGCGGCTCCTACTTCTGTCCGATCCGGCACGACGGACGATCCGCTTCGCCCTCGACAATGTAGACACAACCACCTACGCAATGAGGTGTAAAATGTACAGATGGATTGAATCTTCTCGCTGCAGAGGAGACAAGGTCGACGTGCCAGACGTTTTGCCCGACTGGGTTGGATGCTAGCGCGCGCGCTCTGCGTGCCACGC